TCCCTTCTTGTTGGTCATTGTGTCCTTTTGTCTCCCTTCTGTTTCCTTTTGTCTCTCTTCTTGTTGGTCAGTGTGTCCGCCTTGTCTTCCTTCTTGTCTCCCGTGTCTCAAAGAATGGACTTGGGAATGCTTCTTTGTTGTCCCACCTGTTTGGGGTCTACGGTGGTGTAATTCATACAGAGTTGTTCGGTGGGGTGGTCAAAACATCTCCAAGCCCAAGATCTGCAAATGGCCCCATGGGCTTTAGGATCTGTTGACCATGTCTGGCGTCCTGGCGTCCATGGGCCAGGTTTGCAGTCGTGTGGCACGATGTGGAAAGTGCCACCTGTCCATCTTGCTTCCAGTTCCATCTTGACCGAAAAATCGGTGGTGTTTAGACCCCCCAAGTGAGTGGAGACCAGAAACACCAAACCCATGTGGGGCGTGGGCCTTTTGGAACTCCAAGCGCTGCCGCCGAGTGTTGTGGGTTCTTTTGCTTTGTACCAGGTGCGATGAGAGCGAGCGGGAATCCATCAAGGAGTTGCAGGCGAGGGAATCCATCAAATGCATCGGCCGCGAGGAATGTTCGGGACCGAGAATATCTACTCCCCCAAGTAAAGCCGTGCAAATGGCATCACATCATCATCACATCTCTCACACCTGAATTTGGATTTGTACACCCACTGAATATCGGTGGCATGGTCCCTTGAGATGACTGCTTTCCGAATACGAAACAGGTGGTGAACTCCACGTTAACTCCTAAAAATGTCGACCTTAGTTGGCCGTTCAAGAAGTTGGGAATGGGACTACCTAGGACTCATACTAAAGATGTGGTGTTCTTCTTCCCAATGATCCGGCTGTGCACGTGAACTTGGTGTGAGCATCTCATCCTTGAAAGAGGGTTCCCGAGTAAAAGTGGGAGCAGAGGCGCTATAGGGATGTCACCTGATTGAGTTCGAGGGAAAAAGGAGGGACAATGGGAGTGCAGGGATACCACAGTGTTGTGTCGTCAGAAAGGCATGGAACCTGAGCGCTTTGTGGAACCGACTCGAGACAACCCTAGATCTAGCCTCCAGCTCTTTCTTGCCAATCTGGTGTTTGGGGGGGCCAAGAATGGAACGGAGGGTTACTTTGTTTTTTGTGTCTTCGTCTTTGGAACCAGTCCCAGATGGAGATTAAAACCATTCTTGCCGTCTTCTCGCTCGCGGCCCCGCGGCACGCGGCACGCGCCGCGGTACCGCGACTGCTCTGCGTGCGATTGAGGCATGGTCGGAGCACACCGATGAGGGAGGCAGGAAGGGAGCCAAGGAAGGAAACGAGGTCTCAGACAGATCAGACATGGTTCAAGTATAACCCTGAAGCAGACTGGAACATGGTCAATTGCCGGTGATTGATGCCAAGCTGCCAAACATGGGCAAACATGGCATTTAGGGGGCATAGGATCCAGAAGGGAGAAATGCCATTGTTCATCCCTGATTCATCACATGCATGGTATGTCTTTGCACATCTTTGAGCCGTTATGTTCTTTCTTAATGGTTTCGATGCTCCAACAAACCTCCAAAGTTTCGTTTGCATCCATTTCTGGTAACTAACCCTTTTGACTGAGCGACCTGGCTTTCCACTAGGTGGCTTCCTTGGAAACCAACGGAAGCACTGAGAAATTTTCCAGTTCCTTCATCCGGAAGCACAGCGGGACGAAATTCATTCCACGAATTCCATGTGAATTCCATGTGAATTCCACGTACACCACCATGAAACCAATCCACCGCTGGGTAACGCGAACATCTTGGATTTCACACCATGGATTTCACACTGTAAAAATCTAAAGTCCACCACCGCCTGACCTTGTCCCAGTCTGTGTTGTTCTCTTTTGACCTGACCGCAGGTCAGCGGTTCTTTTACAACCGCGACAAGCAGGTGAGTGTCCGGCGTCCTGGTGACGGACCTTCTGGACGACTTCTGCGTCAAAAAGACGTGTTCAGACGCAGATGGTCCTTCTTTTCAGGAACTTGGCATGTTTGGGGGTGTGTTCTGGCAGATAAGTATGAAGGCAAAGGTTCATGCTGATTCATGCTTCTCTCACCACCTCGCACAAGATAATTCTGGCACTCCGTATGTTGTGTTTGGGGGGGGGGTCACCATTTTATATTGCCTGCACAGGACCCTGAAGATGACGGACCCTTCATCAGTCCAACCGAACTGTTCGACCTCCTGTCCGCCACTGTCCGACCTCTTCGAGGTGTGGACCGACCCCCGCCCTGCGCGGTGCCACTCGCTGTGCGCCGGAAGCGGTCGGGGGGGGGCGGTGCGGCCGGGGCGGCTGCCTTAAGTGACCCGGTCGGTGATCGCGAGTACGGAGAGGTGGCGAACGTGTTCGGAGAGTGCGCCTGGTTCGGAGGCACCTGGTACGGAACTCCACCTTGGTGGACAGAACACAGCGATCGAACAATGAAAGATCCTCAAAATCCCACTCCAGGTGTGGAACATTGGCACAGGTGACCGACCGAACGCAGCAAGTCATCCAGGCTGACGAGAGGCTGGGGCGAGATCTTGCAAGGAATGTGTTGAGGCCTCTTTCAGCTCACGGGACACCATGGTTTGAGCATGAACACCATGGTTTGAATGCGCTTGTCGAGCACCCCAGAAGAGTTTCAGAAAATGATTCGCTGCGCAATGGATCTTTAAAGGAATTTTGGCGCCTGCCATCGAGGACGCATGATTCTTCAAGGGCATGCTCCTTTTTCAGGGCTGGCTATATGAGGCAGGCGTTCTGCTGTGCGAATCGGCAGCACGTTTTTGCCCCCCTTGTGCTGCCAGCACGCGCAGGTCGGAGCTTGATGGGCAGTCTTCCTGATACATTCTGGTTGAATGGTGTGAATGCTTGGAGTAGGTAGACACTGCCAAGCGAAGTCCTTGAACAAGTTCCTGAGTGTTTTGACTAGCTAGGAGTACATTTCAATAATACGTCTCCCAACATAACAGCTCTCAGGGTTAGAAACTGTACCACTGTCCTAACTATCCTTAGATTGAGACCGCACACTCGTTGACTCTTTTCAGCAGTGCATGGGTCGTGCACACCTCATCCAGCAGCGTCTAGACGAACATGGTCCAGGTCTCAAGATTGCGGACCGCGTCGTCCATGGCGCGTGCTGTTTCCAGGTACCTTCAGATGAAGGCACTCCGTGACATGAGCAAGCACTGCGGTCAGGCCGGAGCAATGAGTATGTGGGAGTTGGTGCACGCACGCATGGGAGGAACCTGGTGGAGGGTGGTTTGTCAGCGATGGTTAGATGCAGCAATGGGCAAGATGACCAAGAGACTGGTGCGACTTGCAAGGATTGAGGGTATGAGCCCTGTAGAGACTTTAGGATCCATTCCTTCATTCCTTACGACTCGCATTTATTAGGAGACGGGTATTGAAGAATAGGACCTTGGCTGGTAAACCCAAGTCTTGGCCTGGCAGTCTGGAGGTGAACTATATTTGGGTGAATGGAATATCAAGATCAGTGTTGAGGTCTGTGAGGGTTTGTACTGATGATTGACATTTGTGTATATGAAATATATGTTGTTTAATTAGTGTTATTGGGTAGAGAGTTCTTTGGGGTACAAGTTGCATCATTCACTCTTTATAAAACTACCACTGGGCAAAAAGGCTATCTACAGACGTCGGAAGCTTCTATTCTGTTTTGGATGGAGGTTCAATTGCATATGCCAGCAGTACTCGCAGCAGTATATTCCAAATCCATCCATTTAGCTCTTTTGGAAACACTCAGATCTGGAGACCGCAAAAAATCCAAGGTGAAGAAGGACCTCCACCCCACCTCCACCCCACCAGCAGTAGTGCCAGCGACAGAAGAGCTGCTTCGACGTCGCCAGTTCCTTAAGAGTCTGACGGTTTGGCCTCGGCCGCACGAGCTCGTGCTACTGGTACGTCAGACTTGACATCGACACTCCATGGGACTCGAATAGTTACCGGATGTTGCATGGATGGATCATAGGTTGGAGGCCATTGCTAGTAGGTTGGAGGCCATTGCTATTAAATGGATATGATATAACATGTAACTATACTATTCCTGATCAAAGTTGATCCCATAAGATCCCATCGTCTGGATCAACACCGAACTCCAGGTGGGTCGAGTAGGTCGACCTTCCCAGCCCTTATAAAACGGATCCCCCCCAAACCGGAGAGCTGCGCCGAGGGCATCGCCACCTGGGTTATGTTCAAAAACCCTGGGAACAGAGGGCATCGCTACGAAGGGAGCAACACATACCGAACCTGGGAAGGTGAGCAGGAAGACTATATTCATGACGGCTCGGAGGGTCCAGTTGTACTGAAGCTGAGAAGGTATATTCCTATATATAGGGATATAGGCTATAGGGGAGACTTCCCAGAGGCGGGGCAGAACCCAACCCCATGGGTTCGGGTCTACCATCGACCAGTCTACCCAGTCTACCAGAGTGAGAAAGGGGATCTCCGGATTTCAAGACACCCGCTCAGACTCCTTGCTGCAGTGGTCTGATGGGTGCCCTTCCCTAAAGGCCTGAACCATGTGGATCTGGGACTCCCACGAAGACTTCGGCCACCATCGAACGAACCCCTGCACCGACCTTTTTCCGATCGGTTCCAAAAAGACACTCTCCATGTACATGACGTATAACGTATATATGCCGCCCGATTGACCCCGACTTCAACCACCCCAATTGATCGGCAGATATGTCATGTAGTCTACTGTCTTCAGGGATCTGGCGGAGGACCGTATCGTCTGTTTTCCTCCATCTGGCACCATGTGATGTGGGTCCATGCCATGTGACGTCCCGGCACCGTCTCGGCCCTCGGTGCCAGGCGGTCGCGGGTTTGGGCGCCATGGACGACCCACGGAGAGATAAGCTACGCATCCAACAGCCGCCTGGCACACACCAAACAGATAAAGACAGACAGCTGTGCCATGCTGTGCCTGGGTTCCAGTGGAGTATGAAGTGTGGAGTATATGTATTATATGTTCTCCAACTGTTTCTTCAGCTTCTGATTCTCGCTCTTAGAACCTTCAAAACCATCCAAGAACCATCGAATCGCCCCTTCAAACCTACATCGAAAACCAACCAAGTATTGATAGAAGCTGCACTTCCCAGTACTACCAGCACCGGGTCCTTCACATCTCACATCATTGTCATCTTGACTCGACCTCCATCGGGCCCAACGGAAGCGTCTTCTCGAGGCACGATCCCAGTTTTTTTTTGTGTTTATCCGGTGTCTTGTTTGTTTTTTTCGTAAAACCTGGTCCCAACCAGAAAGAAAGGGATGGAACTCCTCAGTTTTAGCCACTGCGTGTATAAAAAGCATCTCAAAGCTGGCACCATATTGGAAGAACCAGACGCTGTTTCTGCTTGGGACTGGGTTTCCAGGTACCTGCCCCATGGTCGTTTTGAGCGCCCAACTCGCAAGACATGCCATAGTCATAGTCCCAAACCATCCAAAACCCAGCGACTGGTGTCGCGCACGACGCCTTCAACGACGGGTTCCAGTGCCTGAGAGACGGCCCCTTGAACACCCAAGTAATCCCAAGCATGTGTGTTTTGCAAATTATGTTCCAAATGCATCATTACGTATTTTGTTGTAAAGTGCACGCGCAGTCTATATGAATCATGTCAAGACTGTTTTGATGTTGATAACTGCTGCATGTTTTGGGAGTGTTTCCTTGCACAATTGTTGCAAGAACTCTGTGAAGCTTTGTCCATGTTACATACTTCCCTTCAGCTTGCGTCCCGGGAAAAGTGCCAACCAAACAGGGGCATCCAGGCGCGATTCAATGCAAAATCAATTCGAAGAGTACTTCGTGTAGACCATGACCCGAACAAAGCTCCGCAAAGCCGCCCTGATGGCTCACAACCAAGTCATGGAGTGACCACAGGAGTCTTGGTCGAAGTACGACATATAGGTCTCCCTATAGCTTCTTGTTACTAATGGCTATTTGTTCCTAGTAGTACGGCCAGGAGCCCCTAGTAGCTTCTTGTTACTAGTTTTGAATCATCCCCAGCAAAAATTCCCCATGCTTCGTCCTTCTCACAGTTCCTCCCCCACCGTGTTTCTCTACCCCAAACATCATCTATTTACGAGAAAATCCATGCAACTCCTTCACGGTTCCAGCAAACGCTTGTTTTTTGCCCAGTGGTCACTGCAACAATCTTACCACTCTTTTCCTAAAAAGACATGTTCGGGAGGAACCCTGGAACCGACGAAAGCGACCGCTGCAACCGACCGCGGGTGTTTTCCCCGTGCCGGTCGTCGCTGACGCGTCTCGACGGCCGAGGATGTTGGCGATTGGCACCTCAGGCAGGTTGGGACCGTGCCCGTTTGCCATGCCGCATGCGTGCGTGCGAGCGTTCAGAAATATGGACTCCCAAAAATGGAATAGCCGAAAGCAGCTGCCGCAACGATCAGATTTTGGTGCGCAGTTTGGAGCGGCAATGAAGGAGCCACTTCCATTGGTGTTTATAACCAATGGATCTTCCAAACAGCACTCATTTTTGTGCATTTTTCGGTGAAAAGATGCCATTTAATTGATGTTCCGACCCCGCGCCACCACACGGTGATTTCAGTTGCTGACCAGCGAGCTCCCGGCAGCTGACAGCGGTGCGACAGCGTCCCACTCGGCAGGGAGGTCGGACACACGGCACGAACCGTGGAAGGCCGCGGAAACCGGCGCGCAGACGTGAAGCCGTTTTTCACGTTGGAAGCGTTGGGGAAGCGGGACGTGCAGGCGGCCAGTTCTCCTCGGCCGCCTTGGCGGGTCAATGGTGAAGGGTGGGAGAGTTGGCTCATTTTGTTGATGGTTTTCTACAAGTTGGAGGCTGGTCGGACGAGATGGATGCCTTTTTGCATCCTTTTGCACCACAGCTGGGCATGTAGCATCGTCGGAAGAGCCGAAGGCTGCTCCTCGGTATGATGCTGCGTGCATGGACAGAACGAAACTCATGGCGCAGCGGGCCTATGGTGAGGTCACCCAGTGAGCCCTCATCACTGCTTCATGCAGGTCAATGGTATGGCCAATGGCACAAGGTGGTTTGATACTGCTGCAGCTGGATGTGGTCTTCCATGGTGAACTGCTTCCTCGCTTTGCGCCAAGCATTTGCGCGGTTTCCGTTGAAAGGGGTCCAATTTGTTTACAGTAGGTTTGACAGCAAACGTATTGCCATACATCTATTCCTGAGTCTAGAGTCTAGACTGACAGGCTTTATTCTCAGATGCATTCAAAAAAAAATAACGGGATTCAGACAAAGTGGACCAACACTTGACCAGACAATCTGCGCTACAAATTCACTTATAATCCTGGTTTTGCTGATCAGTTGAGATTCTATTTTCCTATATCACTGGGCACTTGCCCAGGTTCTGAAACAATCCAAGAGAGCCAGTAGGTCTCGACCGTTCCCCGCGCTCTTCAGACCCTCTGGGCAAGTCTCTGCCCGGGGCCCGGTCGGCCGGGCGCTTCGTGACCCGGGCGACGGATGTTGTTTGGACGAAACTGGCACTCGACCACGGGTAGGTTACCTGGACAGACCCCCCAAAAAACCAAGAGGATAAGGAGGTGTCTCAAGGGCGGCCCATTCAATGCCTAAATAGAGACATGGTTCCACAGGATGTCTTTTTTTGATACCAGTTGGTTCATGGGCTTGACATTCTGGTGAATATGGTGTTTGAACATCCTTAATTGTAACTAATTTTACACTACGCGAGGTAGCGAACTGCCTACGGGGTGATATATACATGTCGTGGTCATCGGAGCCATCTATGTGGGTTGGAGGGGACGTGTGCGCAGACGAACGAAGAACTAAATCTTGCCTGAAAGGCACACTTGGCGCACCAATCCCAGTCGGGTTATCAATGATGTTTCATGGTTTTTCTCATGTCCACCTTGCCAAAGTCTTGCCCGAAACTTCACCTCAAGATTCTCATTTACCTTCCAAGAGGTGTCTCTCAAACGATATGAAAAACCGCCGTGAGCCGTGAGCCGGGCCTGGCGCCCCCCACGGTGCTGAAAAGCCTCCTTCGAACGGTCCTCGGCGGATCCGCGATCCTCGCTGCGTGGCGGATCCGGCCATCCCCCGATGCTCTCGGACGCCGAGGAGAGAAAAGAAAGAGGATCGCTCCAACGCCGCTCGGACGCGACCAACGAACACGTACAGACGCCCCGGGAAGAGCCGAAGCCACGGGATGAGCGGAGGTTGGATGGGGTGGAAGCCTGTGACGGCCCGATCCGTTGGGTGGACTGCGGTGTTGGAAGCCTGATGGACCACGTGATGGTGGAAGTCCGATGTGGATCCGCCTGGTGCGTGCTTTTGGGGTCTGGACATCGTTGGTGCTTTGGTATGTTTTGCTTCATCCATTTGGGGGGGCAGGTGAAAAGTCCACATCTGCAACTGACAGAAGGGATCCAGCACGGTCCAGCAGAGTCAGTAGAGACTGGTGACAGCCAGATGAACTAAGGGAGCCAACGAGGGAGCATGAACACATGTCATCAGATGTCATCTTCATAGGCTGTGAGATGTGCATGCTCAAAGCATTGACGTGTGTGTGTGTATATACGTGTTTTTGTTTGTTTCTTTGGTTGGTTGGTTGTGTTGTGTTGTGTTGTGTTGTGTTGAGTTGTGTGTTTGTTTACTTACTTTGGATCAGGGACACACGCAACAATTAGATCAATCACCCTTTTCACTCGATCATTTGACGTTTTTTCTTTGGACTCCATGGATCACTCCAAACTTCGGACGAGAGACTCGACCGGATGCGGTCCCGGACGGCTCTCAGCGGCGGCGGGTGACGGCTCGGACGGCTCGGACGGCTAGGCGGAGGCTTCCAACGAAGGCGGAGGCGACCGGTTGGGACGGACGTGTGGAGGGGAGTGGACGGGTCCAGTTCAGCCAGCCTGGGGTCCGGTACAGGAGCAGGGTGAGTGCGGATTTAGTGCGGATTTAGTGGTATTCCATGGTATTCCCATGGTATTCCCCAACACTTTCACAGACATCCTGAGAGTTTGGTGCAAAGAGGTTTAAACGATCTTAAACGCGAAACAGTTTGAGAGCTCAGGAGGCTCAGACGAAACCACATTCATACTTGCTGATTCCTTCTGTGGGCATTTTAAGGATTACGGTTGTTACCGGTGTAGAGAAGAATTGTGTGTTCTGATTTCTATTTGTTCAACTTTAATCCGGGTGCGGGAACCTGCATTTTTGGGAGGGTTACTTCAGCACAGCTGAAGAAGGGAGGGTGCTGGTGTTTTTTTTTGTGAACACAACCACCCCACCCCGAAGTTCACCCCGAAGTGAGGTCGGTCGGTTGGTCGGGTATCATTTTTCTCCTCAAATCGTGATCTGGATCAAAACCTTGAGCCCAACCCTGGTAGGTTGACCATGTTTGGTAGTCCATTCTGCACATCTTTGGTGGTCGAAGGTTTGCCAGTGACCCACAGCCATCCCACCCGACGGCGAACATCCGCGAGGCCGCAGGGATGATGAAAAGAAAAAGAAGAAAAAGAAGAAGAAAGATCCGGGCAATGAGGCCAGTCGACTGTCCGAGTGTGACAGGGTCTGAATGCCTTTTGTTTGTTATAAGTTCATTTGATTAACATCCAGAAATCATCACCACTTTGGGCCCCGAGCACGGTTGTTTCTATTTTTTTGCATTTGATCTTGGACATAGCATAGGGCCCTAGAGATCCTGGGGTCCTGGGAGGGCACATGTGTGTTGGTGTTGTGAGATTCTGGAATGAAACAGGTCCGGCTTCTTAAGGGGAATGATGCCAGTTCTCTATTGCATGACATGATATGACATGTTCATAAGACTTGTTTCATGTCTGACAGACCCGCCAAGTCCCATTCTCAAATCTGCATCAAATCCACCGTACCCTTCGATCAAACGTCAGATGTTCTGCGGTTCTGCGGAACGTCGACACCCCCGCACTCCTGCGTCGGCACTGCGCAGCGCAAGCAGTCGGGGCGCCGAGGAACCCATCGACCTCACCGAAGAAGATCCCGCGGAAGGCGGCGGAAGTCGAATGATGGCGGACCGGGCGGGGGCGGCCAGGCGTTTGGTTTCTGCGAGTTTTTAGAAGGGGGGAGGAGGAGTTGGGGGAGGGGTTTGGGCTTTTGTTTGGGGGGAACAAAGAGAACCTAAAGAAAGGATGAAAAAGGAGTGTTGGTAAAAGGAATTGCATTTTAGCATTTTGACATTTTGGAACACCATTTCAGGGAGCACCTGGTGTTTTCTTCCGCTAGCAGCATAGCTTTTGGGCTCAAGCGGGATGAGGGAGTTTACGCCAAAGCCGGACGCGTTACAGGCGGATTCTCCGCCTTTGATGTGTGTTGTGTGCTCCGCCTCTTTCGAGAGGCGCTCCTATTTGTTGAAACACCAGGCGGAAGAACACATTTCCGCCTTCCGTTGTTCTTGTGGCAAAAGATTCAAATCCCAGTGTGCCGTACGGGCACACGCCGCAGCGTTGCAGCACAGCATTGCAATCAAGTATCTGATCGATTCTGATCTGAACTAATGGAGCTTGATGATGAAGTCATTGACCCCTTTGGGAGAGGAAGGCTTCTGCTGTCTCCCGTTCCATCCAGTGTGAAACAGCCTTCGATTATTGCCCGGCCAAGCTTCATGTTGTCCAAAACGCCTTCAGAGGCAACGTTTTCAGATGCTTCGGACTTGGAAGTGCCAGCTGGCTGTGCTGGTGACTCAGAAGCTGATGAATGGTTGCTGCGGGTTGAGCGCATTGAAATTGGATTTAGACATCTCTATGGATGTGTTGTTCCAAGGTGTGCCCATGGGAAATCATGGCGTTAAGTGTGGAGTGCATGCCTTTTGGCAATACAGTGCTGGAAATTGAAAGTTCAGTTGTCACACAGAAAGGAAAGCAAATCTTCTTCTCGCCTTCAGCAGGATTGACTAGCTTGGGTGGGAGTGACGTTTCTCATGAGCAAGTGCGTGAGTGGGGAACATTGTGCGGCCTTTTCTCCGAATCTTGAGCAGCTTCAACTCCCATGCCAGATGAATTGGCAAGGTTCTGTATGGGTGGTAAAAAGGAATCCCCGCTGGATGGATTTCTGATGAGAGCGGTGGCCCTGGCAACATGCATGGAGCGAGTTGCCTTGACTGACAACGGGCCACTTCTGGCAGTATCTTCATCGCCAGCAACAGGACATCTACGATGGTGGATTTGGCACGAGCAGAATTGTCTGGTACTGTGGTCTTGCCATTTCACCGAGTGCTCAATGCAATGGGTTCACGGGGAGTTCTGTTGTTGAGAACTCTTCTTTCCTCAAGCCCGCTGAGGCAGACTGGGACTGGAGAACGGATGATGTTGAAGGTTGCTTGTTGGCCCAATCTTCCGAATGCAGTCTTGGCTGGGCGAAGAACCATCGATTCGGAAGAAGGTCTGAGTGAGACCATTGGAAATGGTGGCCATGATCAAAACCTTGATGAGTCTGTTTGGCCAAGGCGCTGAATATGACAAGTTGATGCCTGATGTGAGATTGCTGCTCTGTTCAACTCCATTCTTGGTCAAGGGCCATGTATTGTTGCGGGTGAGAGTTGGCATCACAAGAACATATGGAGCGGCTACTTGTGCTGCTACTGATGATGTTACCACCATTCCGGAGCCCATGATGCCAATGAGGGACTTGGCGCAACTGTGGTGCCGCAGCTGCCGGCAAGGCTATCTGCTGCAGCAAGCTCTGGCCCGCACACTCTTGATCACTTTTGGAGAACATGGTGATCAAGTTATCGAAACGGTGAGGAAAAATGGTGAGGAAAAATGGTGCTGGCTGGATCCGGACTTGGTTCTACGGCGATGATGGAAAAGCTTCAATTCTGGTCCCACCTGCAGAAACTGTTGAAAGAACAGGGAGCCACTGGCAGCATATCGAAATGGATGGTGAAAGAAGGAAGCTTCCTGTCTGCTTGGTCTGAGTTGACACAGATGTTGGATTGGTATCTTGGATTGAACGTGCCAGGACCTGTTTCCTTGCTCCTGGAAGAGCAGACAGATGAAGAATTATTGCGAGCGCTCCAGGTCGTGGAAGGGCGGTGGAAACCATGGCGAACATTGGATGCCACAACTAAGAATGCGGTGGTTGCGCACCAGATACTTGAATCAGAATCTGGTGGTGGCGAGGGTTTGCTGCTTGTGCGCCAAACAATCAAAGAAACCAGAGAAATACGCAGCAAGAATATCGCGGCGCCAGATGTCTGGAAGAGCTGGGAACATGTGCCTACGATGTATGTGAGCCTGGAAGGCACGCAAGAGCAGTGCTTAGTCAAGCTTTCTCATCCAGACTATGGCAAAATGAGTTCGTATTATGGAAAACATGGCGCTGGCAAGCTCGCCACGTTGATGTGGAACTTCAAAGCCATGGACCGTGGTTGTTGATCCTGATGTGAACTTGCCTGGCCTTGGCCCAAGAGATTTATTTCATTTTGCCAGGACTCGGAGAGCCTTATGGTGGGCCATTTCCCGATCCCGAACTGCCTGGGACTGAAGAGGAAGATTACGCCATGGATGGAGGAGATGAAGCTCTTGAGGACGCTGGAGAAGAGCGGCAAAAAAGGCGGTCGAAGAAAGAGAAGCGCAGAAGGAGAGGGAAGAAGATGCTGAAATGGAGCAGATGGGTGAAGTTCCAGAAGAACAAGATGCTGGGGAAGCGCCCATTGGTGAAAAGAACGTCTTGCTCAATGATGAGACGAGGTTGAGGTTGAGGCAAGTTGCAGTCATGATTCGAAAATGGAATGGTGATGATACTGAGAAAGAGGCTATGGGGCTGATGGAATCTGAGAAGTTCACTGAAGGATTGACGTTGATGGAGAAATCCTTGATATGGGATGTACAGAGGATCTCAAAGTGCTGAGAGAGACCCAAATGATCGAGAGAGTGCGTGCGCCGCCGGCGCGCCACGGCTGGGGGCAGCTCGCTGACTGCGGCTCTTGCAGCCGGCTTTCTTTTGGAGCCTTGAGTGGCTGCTGCACTTCCTCCTTTGTTGCTGCAGAGCCTTGTTTGATCTGCAGAGATTGATGCCTTCGCTGGATGGAGGGCTGCAACCTCTCTGCTTGGGCCTGGACCGGCCTTTGCTTGCATGAGTATGGCTAGCTACCAATGAGACGAAGCTGAGCCTTTGGCGCTTCATTGGTTTTTGCCCTCTTCGGTTCTCCAGATGTCGCAATGGCCGTTGGGGCAGGCTTTGAGTTTGATGTCCAGTTGGTCATGACTTTGTAGGACTTTGCCATTGCACTCATGATCTCCCCTTTGGCGGTCCATCGAGTTCCCACACTAGTGCCCACAGGTGCCCAGTCTCACCTGGTTGCGAAGGGAATCGCCTCCGTAATTTCAGACCTACCCCATTTGTTGAACGTCAAAACATATGTTTTGTTTTTTGAAGAAACAGGTTCATAATTATAATTTAGTGTATATAGATAAGATCACATATAAGCAGCTTTCAGTCCAGATACCAGCCGTGGATGGACTATGATCATGTTGTGGTACTCTATCTCCCACTCACTCCCTTTTGTTGGGAGACCTGAACCTCCCTCCTTCCTCATCTGCCATCCCGGTCCCTCACTTCTTCCGTCCCTCTCCTCTTCCGCTTCTGGTGCTTCCAGCCGCCTCGCTTCGCTCCACCACGTTCAGCCTGCAAGGGCCAGAGAGCGCCCGCCCCAGCGGCGAACTCAAGAAGCCTTCGTCGCTCTCGGCGGTGGATGAGGCCGCAGATGTGAATGTTTGGGTGGGGCCTGGGGGTCGTGAAGAAGGGAGGTTTCTGAGGTGACATAAGGCAACTAGGTTAGTTTTTGTTTGAATCCACTGATTTCATGTGTTTGAAGGGAGTTGAAACCACCAGTTGATTCACAAAAAATCATGCGCCAGACCTGAAGAGGATGTACAATCCATGCCTGAGGGACTTTTATTCATCCAGAATCCACACATCGGTCAGATTTGTATCGCCTCGGACTTGCACCATTGGGAGATCTCGATAGGACACAAACAAATTCATTCTATCTGGCCCGTAGGGTCCAGGTACCTCCTCTTCCATCTCTTGATGGTCTTGGAGGATATGATGAATCCAATCCCGTGTTTTTCCGACCCCGGTCGGATGCATCCGTTCGACTCGACCCGCCTGGGGTGATGAGTCGGGTGATCAACCGGCGGAGACGATCACTAAAGGGCCTGGCAGGCGCTGCCTGGACCGGATTAGATGGGTCCCATGATGGATGGATCGTGGACATAGCTGGCGTACATTCGTTGACTCCGACGCAGAAAGGGCCTCCAACTATAATAACGAAGGTGGGACGTGTGTTTTCAGAATGGCCATTCCATTCGAGCGAGTAGACTAGACCGCGCTTTTCCCTGAAGGCTGCCCATCTTGCAAGGTACCGAAGGCTTGAAACTTTTTGACTTTGGGAATCGATCGATCTCGGATGATCAACACCTTTTCAGCACACCTTTTCAACACCTTTGGGCACCCTCCCCGTCGGGCCATCCGATGTTTCCACACATCTGCACATCCGATATTTGGACACCGTCCCCCACTCCGGTCCACGGCGGTCCACTGCGGTCCGGGTCCGACCTCGCCAGGTCCGGCAAGGTTTGGGGCTTCAGCCTGCCAGCAGTGGGGGAGCAAAGAGTCGACGTCGCCTCGGACCTGAGACTGTGGGTCGCACAGCTGTGCTGTCGACCCCCCCGGCTTGGTTTACTTAGGTGAAGGGGCCAACAGATGTACCATGATTCAACCTGTGTTTGCTTCGGGTCATGCCCTATCTTTGGTATTCTAAAGAGGGGGGCCCAGCTACTGAACATGAAAGTTCGTGAACCGAGGTCGCGACCAAACAAAACCCGTGACCTCAAACCGGGAGATCGGATCGGATAGGGTCACTTTTGAAGAACAGAACCAGGCAAGTGCGGACATGGAACATGTTAGTTTGTTATTGTTCCATGATTTTATTTGACATGTATTTTTTTCTAGAATAAGCGTTTCTCGGGACCATTTTGCAGTCGAAAACATCATGAGAGGAGACACTGCTAGATTTATAGAACCCATACTGAAGTTCAAGATTGAAGCCAGTCGATCCAGACACGCCAGTTTTTCCCAACCAAACCACTTACGACCTCCTTGTTAGGACACTTTTGGAGTGTCCCTGAGAGGGCGGCTACCCCCTTTCTAGACACCTCGAACGGTTTCGGTTCCGGATCGACCGTTCCCGTCGACCGTTCCCGTCTTCCCCGACCGTCTTACAGAAGTCGACGTCGTCTGATCCGGAGGACGTCGGTCGAGGTCGTCTACAGCGCTTCCGAACGACCATCTTCACATCCTGTGTTCTTCACATACCTGCACCCTCCTGTCGGGGTGTCCTGGCTGGACTACCCCACACTACCGAAAAAGGCTTCCATTGGGCACCCCTTGGAGGGTCCTGGTATCTCTTCATATCTTCACAATTATTCAATATGATTCACACCTATTTGGGGTTCGCCAGAACTGAAGTCTCTCTCTTTTGATAAACATCCATGTGTTTTGGGGCTTCTCTTTTCAAACCATCCCAAGTTCAAGTGTCTCTGCGCGTCGAATCGATGAATTTGCAGTCTCCCCTCTGTCGGAGACTGCGAGAGGACCCAGATGATACGCAGACTGTCCATGGAGACTTCTTCTAGCTTCTTTTAGCCCGCCCTTACTTAGTTAATGTCCTTACTTAGTTAAGATTAATTAAGGATTCAACAATCTATTACTATAAGGGAACCTGCTACTGACGAACGGACGCGGGAGTCTTGGGATGCCTTTTCAAACCTGAAGGATCCATGCACAAAGGGACCTGCCACACCTGCCCCACACATGAATCGGCAATATCGTTTCCTTTTTGGGCTATAGAAACTGACCCTCACAAATTGCTTCAACCCAGCAGCTGTGGGGACAAGTAGCTCTCTCCGGCGCCCCTCTTCTTTTTGTCTCGCATCCTCCCGGCCGCGGAGTTTCTTTTTTTTCCAGCTGCTGAAAAGACTCAAATAAAGTGTTGAACTAATCAATTGTCGTAAATATAGATTAACAAAATCTAATGGTGTTTTATTTTCCATTTGCTTCTGGCCATGGAGGGCCATTGGTGCTTGGAATCCTTTTCACCGGGCCGAGGTAGTGGCGGCGGGGGCGGCCTGCCCAGCCTGGATCGCTCGGCCTTTGGAGCCTCGCGCTTGCCGACCCCACCAGGTCCCCTCTGGCGCGGGTCGGACGAAGGACCAAGACGGGAAGAAAGAGGACCATGGCCGTGGCTGGCCTCGCCTCTGCTGTATGGAGAGCTGCTACGAAGATGATCGAAGTGTCAATTCACCGTTTGACCTCTGACCAAGCACGACTACGGACGGAATGGGCGCCCAGTCGGAAGCGACACGTTCCTTCGCGAGTGTCGAAAGAACCGACGACCTCTGTGCGGCGCCGGGCAGTTCGAGTTCCGGGCGGCTGCGTGCGGCACAGGGGATGGCCTGAGCTCGGTGGGGCGGCAGAAGGTGAGGGCTGGGATTCGCTTGGAGTCGGGTCCCAAGAGCGACGGATGGAGGATGCGGATGGAGTCAGCGGTTGAAACCGCTAGACCGGGTCCACTCTGGTGGGTGGGGAGAGAGGTGTGGAGATAGGTCTGGGTTTCCCACCATAGAGACACGACGGAGCCTGGAATTGAGGAGAAATAGTCGAACAAAATAACAGGTGTTTGGGAGGTCTCAACATTCCAATCAGCCATGGAGATTCTGATTGATTGTTAACATAGAAGAAACACATGGTATCACAGTAGGATCACATGTTCACTTTTTAAAGGTACGGTGTCCCTTCTAACCTGCGGTTAGATTTTTGACGATCGTCCCTTAAGACTCTGCGGACACGATCGATGCACAAACGTGGGACATCTGTGGAGATCTTCTGTCCGACCACCCCGTCTATACTGGGCAAATCTGGGCAATGTCTACGGCTGGGCAATGACTAGCTGGACTGTCTATGACTATCTGAAGTACAACAGAAAATGAGACATGACCCCACTGAGAAATAGTCAATTCAAGGTACGGCGCTGTACCCATTTTCCGAGGTACGAGTAGTTGCGACTCCAGGTCGTTGCGACCATCCGCATTCTCGCCTGTTTTACAGTAGGCTGCAAGGGGACCCCTTGAGTCACGAGCAGATCGTCGAATTGACCAAAACCACTTCGGACATCATGTTGATCCGCAATGGGTCTCATGGTGTCGACTGACTGGACCTGGTCGTGTGGACTGATTCATAACTCCCCCAGTTGAATTGAAAAAGTCTGGTTTTTGACTACCTGCAAGGTCAACCAAACCTCGTTTGGGGCTCCGGTTTTTTGACCCATAGCCATATTGGGGGGTTATTTATCCAGAGTCTACCTTAAACCCCATGCCACCCAAGATTCCCCTCAGCCGCTGAGTTGCTTGCTCTTCAGGCCCATCAAAGGGTGACACCATCAGTTTGCTCGGGGCCTGGTGCGGCACCCGGCGAAAACCACCAATTCAGAAGCTTGTTTTTGCTAATGGGCTTAAAACCGCACGTGTAGTGAAACTGATTTTTCATACAGTCCTTTCGGGGGGGGCAAGAACACACACGCAAACACACGCATTGGAATATGGAAGATGGGGACACTGGGGGGTTAGGGGGGAGGGGGGGTTGGGTGGGGGGGCTAGTGATGTTCATGTTGTGTGCATTTTTATTAGGAAGCCACACACGCACACGCAGGCTGGAATTCTTGTTCTAGTTACAAAGGGGCCCAAAGGGAAATGAGTGGTGATCATCTTCTCGCAGGTGCGTGCAATCTGCGTCCAGATTCCATATCACAGCAAACTTGAAGTGTCTTCGTTGAGCGGTGACTTCAAGAATGCCCACCGCTCCCCTGCTATCAACAGTAGTAAAAAAGTCAGGCATTACATTCCAAAAGGATCCCTGTGACTTCAAGGGGCACACACACAGACAGGTCGGTACACACAGGTGGTCGGGGTTTGTCAGTTCGTTCTTTAGACGTCGACGCATGGAACTTGGCTTGGTGGTTGCTGACTGCTTGCTTACTCCGAAGTTTTTCCGTTCGGGGGATTGTCAGATGCTTGAGGTCAGGAGAGCTGTTCATCCACACCGGTGCCATTGATGGTATGTGGCGTTTGTGTAAGGGGTCGGTCCCCACTAGCTTGCGTTCACGTGAAGGTGACGGTATAAACCCAAACATCATGAAGTTCACTCGACAGTGGCAATGGCGCTGGCACCAGAATAAAGGCGATCTTCTGACGAAGCTGGGTCAGAAGTTGTCCCACAGACTGTGATGATGATGCTGGAGGATGAATTTGCGCGCCTTTTTTTGGCACGAAACCACAGTCTTGCAGCATTTCGATGTCAAAACCGCAACGATTTTTGAGTCGTTTTCATGTACGACATGCTGCAACAAACCTTTCACATCAATGCAAAACACGGTCACACACCGGACATTCGTCATCATTGACCACGTGAAGATTTGACAAATGTCCTCAACCGCACGCGCAGAAACGAGCCCGGCGGGTTGTTTTTGTATTCACACATGTCCAATTGATCAGACTACCCCAACTTGCCCCAGTGGATCTTCTAGATGTCTTTGTTTTTGAATCACACTTCTCAAGGCCTTTATCTTTCAGAAGACTCCCATTTTCGATGACATTCAGATGTTCAGTTCATGGCCCAGGTGCCTACGATCGAGCTTTTCATATTTCGGGCGACACATTTTGCCCGAGCAACTTGAACCCAGTGGTGACTCTGCTGTGGGTTCCAGCCATTGGGCAGCACCCATGGTGTGGAGGAAGCGTGTGCAATGCGGGTTTTCGGATGGAGGGGCCTCCGGGCCTCCTTGTCTTTTTGTGAAGAAACATATAAGGTTGGAACATGTTGGAACCACATCCGCTTTGAAGGTGGTTGGTGGGTGCCAGGGGGGTCTAACTACCTGGTAACTACCTTCTCCTTTAGGGTGAAATGACGGCCCAAGAAGCCACTATCCGCTGGACTACAACATGTGTTGGTTTCAGACTTCTCAGTGGAAAAGGTATCTCAAGCCGCCCCAGGGCCCAAGCAACCCATGGTGTTTTTGCGGTTCATTGGCCTCTCCGGACCTCGACGTCGACGTCGCTGAGGACACAAAATCGATGGCTCCTTAAGGGAGCGCCGGGGCCGTTGGAAGGGGCCGTGGAGGTTGAAGGGACGTGAACGGATGGGTCTGGCGTGGCGTGGCCCAAGTCACCTGGGCAGGTGACCGTGTTGAGAGCTCTTGAGAGCTCCGCCACGGGTGGAGACATTTAAGAAACAGTGGAAGTTATATCAATTGTTGTTTGTGTTTGTTTTCTTTGTGACCAACCTCTATTAAGTATACTAAAAGAGGACTGACTTGTATTGAGAGAAAACCTATAGCAATCTTGCATTGGATTCAGTATGAGTCAGTTTGAGTTTGCTTATAATATGAAGACAGTTATGAAGACTAATCAACCTTCATGATTCTGGTTTTGCACCGCGATTCATATTATATGATCAAGATTTGGATAGGTCTGCCAATCCCTGGTCATGTCCAAGCCAATCCCTTTAGAAGAACAAATATCACACAATTGCTTTAAAACCCTTTCAAGGTTCGAACCCACATGTGTTTCCTTTTAGGGATGTTCCCTTCCAAACCAATCCATATTATACCAATGTGATTTTGGATCGGAACCCTTGGGTCAAGACAGGGCTTCAGGGGTACCGCCAATCTTGAAACGACAGGGCCTTGCCTTTGGAATCTTTGCATTGAGATGACGGCTGCTATGCTCGCCTGCTTTGACGACGACTATATCCATGTCGTTGCTTCGGTCGAGACTGTTATTTTCTTCAAGTTTCAGAACCAGACTGCACTGATCGTGTGCATCCTGATCTCCACTTTCCAGTTTGCTCTATCTTTCACAGGTCCAACGTCAGATCCCTGCACCTCTGATCACCAGGTCCGACCGTGGAGTCGCTCCGTTCACCCCCGACCTGGACCGGTCGGTCGGTGTCCGACGAAGGATCCGGAGCTGGAAGTACTGTATGCAAAGATGTTTGCCCTTTCATCATCTTTCATCGAATTTTCACGTCGCCAAGTTTGGAAAAAAGAAGTTGCACAGGTCGTGGACTATCCAGGTATACATACCTGGATCGTATACATAGATGCAACATGGTCATGCTTTCTATAGCTATTTTCTTTTGGATCAAAAGGTGCATATCTTGCATAGTTGGAAGATCCAGGTATGTAAACCCAGACATGACCTTGATCGGAAGAGATTCTATTTGGGCTCCAACACAGGGGGTCACTCAGTTCTTAAGCATCATGTGTCGCATGCTGCATGCTTGAGGGCATAGACCCACCCTAAACGGATTCGGGGAGACCTTGCCAATCCCAGCGACGGCTCTCGCCCGCGGTAGACACGCCACCGTCGTGAGGTCTCCGTCTTGACCGAAGTTGCCGATGTTTCTATTTGGTTTCAGGACGGCAGCAGCTGCGCCGTTTCCGGCGCCACGAAGGGAAGGTAAAACCATAGGTGCACCACGTACTATGCTCATATGCCTATGATATGTCTCTGAACATGGGGAGTTGCCTCGACATGGAGCTGTGATGTGATCTGCCACCCTTTTTGATGTTCCAGTCGACACGACCTCACGGTCGGCTCAGGGGGATTCGACCTTCTTGCGATTTTCTGCACGTCTTGAGTCACGGAACTCCAACCCAGCTAGGAGCCGGGAGGATTCGACGCCCTCATGGGCCACTTGGTCTTTGTGGCACCCGGCGTGCACGCGTGGGCATGTGATGTGGGTGGGTGTCTTGGAAATTGCCTGGATGGGCTTTACAGCGAAGGGTCATTGCAGGTCATTGCTAGTGGTTGCTTTTGGCGGATTGGAAAACGCGACGTAGCATGTCGTAGTCATTGAGCGGCCATTCACACTGCAGAAGTTGTTCCTGGTACCCTTGTGGGTCGTGGGGCCTTGTATGTGGGTTGGGGTTGGGGGGCAATTAACAATCGGTTCACGCGCCGCGCCAGTCCAAATTTCTCGATTCCTGGAATTCCAGTCTTAAACGAAGATTCTGGTATGCAAACGTGTTCAAAACACATGGTGGAACAATCCGTCCTCCAGATAAATACAGTTATCAAGTCAGTTTTCAACCCGGCCGGTTGTTTTTGTGATAGGTTCGTTTCGGTGGGACGGGTTTGGGTGGATTTGGAGGGTCGAGTCATGTCCAGTCATACCCTTCGTATAGTACGACTGGAGGCCTATAGCGATTGGATAGAAATGCTACGGTGCTCCAAACGGCCAAACACGACATGTGCGTTCAGTTGAGCTGGGCGTATTTGTGGTCAGGTCTACACCAATTGGTGTTCAAACTCATCGGTTCGGAACAGTTACTTTTAGTTTTTGTTCAATAAAACAAAGGATCCAGCAGTCACAGAGCTCGGGGTGGTGTTTGGTCCCATCCAGTGAGTGGATGTGACAGGGGCACTCCGAACCTCCATGGATCGCACCCCGACATGTGACTGCTGGATGATGGTTCGATGATGCTCAATTTCTTTCAGTCTCTCCTGATGTCCCATGATCTTTTTTGCTCACGCAACCTCCACCATTCGAGGTTGAATTCTGACCATCTTGCCGACGTGGCGAATTTGGGGCAACCAACCGCCGCATTGGAAGCACCGCCTTTCGCCGGTGCGAATGCCGCTTGACCGTTGCATGACTGAACAAGAGACCATTGGTGCGCCTTCCGGTTGAACCGTTCCGTGGGGTTTTCGATTATTGTCAACGCAATGCGGGTGTTTGGTAAGCATGTTGAAGTCAGAGGTGGTTGGAATGGGGGTTGGAACAGCTCCCTTGCCTGGCCTTTCGTCAAGATACAGACCACAAGTCTTGGTGAAGAGAAACATGGAAAACCCAGCATGAACCGTTGTTTTTTTGATTTTCTTTGACTCTTTTTTGTGGTTTCTTCGCTGCAAGGGAACAGACGACAAGTGAGAAAGTCCGGAGTGTCTCGAAAACTTAGTGCGACGGGCTTATGTTTGTCAAGACTTGTTTGGAGATGCACACACTACTTTTCAACTTGCACCAGCATTGGCCTTCATTGGCGGACTATGAACACGGAACACTTGTTCGTTCTCCGAGCAAGCATCGTTAATCGATGTACTCCGGATTCCAACCATTGTTTTTGCCGTGAACCGCAGAACCATGGGGTTTTAAGAATTTTAGACAAGCCTTAACCCCCTAAGCTCAACCCCCTCAGCTCAACCTTTCGCTCTTTTAAGGGTCTTTTGTTCATGGTGCTTCGGGTTGCTTTATCGTACGTAAATACTGTACTAGCTATAAGTATACATGCTAACACTATGGGCCGGCACTGGCTGGTGCTTCAGCGGCCAAAGCCTCCGTTCGCCCGTGTCCCCGGTCCCTGCCGTGAGAAAACGCTGGGCCGCCGCCAAAACGGCCGCCGCTGAGTCTTTCGCTCGCGGTGAGGGCCCAGCTGTGCGCTACAACAGGGCACTCTCCTGTTGTCTTATGATCCGGTGTTCCAGTTCATGACGTGATGCATGTAACGGACCTGGTTCGTATCTGGGAGTCGAGAGTCGAGTTTGTTGGGTCAACGCTGAAGTAGTCCGAGCCATCAAAGAGTAAACGTGTGATAAGGAAAAGAGCCTCACAAGTGCATCTATATTTTTGCTCTTAGGTTGGATGATGTTGGATGCCATCGCTACTAGGTCGGAGGCCATCGCTACTATGGGGAGGCCATCGCTATTAGGTGCCTTAAAGTGTTAGAGTGAACAAGAGCGACCCACAAATCTACTTTGGTCTTGTAGAATATGCAGGAACTGTGCACTGTCCTGATTTAGCATGCCTTCGGATTTTGAGAGACTCTCCGCTAGCACGTTCTTGTGAGTTTAAGGCTTCAAATCCCAGATGGAGCACATTCTACATGGCAAGGTTTTAATATATGCGCGGTAGGGGCCGAGTAAACCTTTTTTTAGGCACAGGCGTATGCCTACGCCCTGCGCCGGGTTCAAAGGTTTCACTTGATTCGGGAAGGAGGAACCCGAGTCCATGTGGAATCCCGGGCGAGTGTCACATCAACCTAGCAACTATATTATATAGAATATAATAGACCTTTCTTCCCTTTCTTCCTTGTTGTTTTTCTCTTTGTGTCTATTAGCGATGGCCTCCACCTAGTAGCGATGGCCACCAACCTAATAGCAAGTCCTTGGCCAACACAAGGATGACCAACGATTCGAAATTCCAGACTCCGGATGGCAACCAGTGTAAGCAATAGATTCGACAGGCTGGGTTTTTGGGCATTCTCATGGCGTTCGAAATGGCGTTGTGGGGCTCAAGAAGTCGGGATTCTGTGGATTTCTTGGAGACTAACACTACTTCAAGAGAGTCGATTTGGAGCCAAGGGGGGTCCTCTTTGGGGCTCTATCCAGATACACTTAGATATATACAATATTATATAAAATTTGTTATATATATATAACTATAGAGGGTCCAGCGTTTTAAGCCACGCCTGCACCTGCCCAATCTCAGGTTGCAGAACTCTGTTACATTGGACTGTTTCAACTCCACAACCACTTTTGGGCCGCGAGAAGGACACAGTTCCAGGCCATCACCCCCTACTTCGCCCGTTCAACCATGAAGAAAGGCCTAGGACCTGGGAGGCCATGTGGCCACCCCCCAGATCCCCCCCAGAACGTCAAGGTAGGACCCCCAAGGTAGGAGCAAGGGAAGCCTTTCATATGAATGTACCAGTCGGGGTCGAAATGGAACCAGTGACATGTTCCAATTTGCTTGAAGGCCTGTGTTGTGAGACGTCGCTCCTGTTTGCCACCCCCTTTGGGTTGCGCACTTCCATGCTTCCTTTGCGCATGGAATGCCTCCCTGGAAGTAAAAGTCATGCTGCGCCACCTCCAAGTTCCTCGCTCTATCCGCTGCTCGGGGATTCCAAGCCCTTCGGCATCTTCGGTAGACCACGCCAGCCGCGCGCCCTTCACTGACCGAGGATACTATACCTGTCGTGGATACCGAAGACGGTGGTTTTTCAGGTGTCAGCGGTGAAGTGTCGGTTCCAGGAAGGCTTGTCAGTTGGAGGCCATCGCGACTGTAGGTTGAGGCTTCCATCGCTACCACCAGTGGAGGGTGGTGGAAAACCGGTGCTTTTCTCAAGACCCGACGCATTTGCTGCAGGTCGACCTATTTCTGAGGTCTTTCAGTGATTTGGGGGTGTTTCTGCTTCATGTAACATCCATCCTGGGCATTTCTTCACCATTCAATACCACCACCTGTGAGCTGTACGACTACCACTCAGATTTGATCCGATTTGCTCGTTTGCTCATGAAGTGGCGTGCGGAACCTTTGCTCGAGGCCAACGCCTGCCAAGTCGAAAAACAAAGAACGCTCGTTTGTCTCGCGGCGCGGTTTTGGGAGCTTCTTGTGAGCTCCGGCAATGCACGGTTCTGATCCATCATACCTTCCTTTTTAAAGATTTGACATGGTTGATCCCGTACTGGGAAGCCAAAACACCCGAGGTTTCAGGTGGTTCTCTACCATCAAGCAGATCCTGTTTCATGGGATAAAAGATGATAAACAATGATAAAAGTAGAAAAGCACCTATCAGTGACATGGAAGCAACGGAGGAAGGAGGGAGGACTATCACAAGGATTCCATTCGCTCAATGAACTAGCATCTAGTGCAGACTCTTGATCCTACAAAACCTTGCAAACATTCTAAAACATTAGAAAAGGCTATGAATCAAGAGTTCTACAGTCTACATGAGGCCAGGCCGTGGTGTCCTTGACTCAGGGGATGGACACTCCAGCTTCGGTGCGAGGGGATCCGATTTGTGTGGATCGCAGTCGTTCCACAAAAGCCATAGACTCTTCCTGAGTGTCCAGTCATGACCCACTTGACCGGCCTGGTAGTGGACCGTCATGGAGTCTTCCATGTGGGGGACTCAGGAAGGGCGGCCCGGCCGGCTAGGCTGGCTAGCGGGGGTTTGACCAGGAGACTCTTTGTGGAACGAACATTGGGCCAGTGGAAACACCTTGTGAGGTATTTGGACAGTCGTTTTCCATCGAAAATCGATTTGGAAGTGGATGGCATGGCTACTATAGTAACAAGAAGCTACTAGTAGCTCCTGGCATCGCTACTAGTAACGAACATGTACCTCTCATCCACGTAACCATGTGATGTCTTCGTTCGTTCGTGGAGGTCGAAAGAAAGCATGAGAACCCCAACATTCATCCAGGACTCTGCAATAGGTCACCACCCACGACAGGTCAAAGTGTCTTTTGTCCGGAACATGTTTCAGGGTCCCTCACCGTCCAGCACACGGCTCTTAAGTATGGAACAAAAAACAATCGTGTACAGTAATTAAATGTAATTATGATATGCCTCCATCACGTCAGACCTGTCACATGCCGAACTGGGAGGGAGGAAACCCTCTCGGGGTGCCACATTCACATGCTGCTCATGCCGATCGAACTTGGAACTTCACCGCTTCGGGACTGGCCCAATGCCCACCGTCATCCACCGTCCCAGCAAGTCGCGCCGGCGGTTCGTCCAATGCCGCGCCGTCTCGTCCCGGAAAAGGGCTCAGGTGACTGAAAAGGAGGAAGAAGGATCCTGGATCCAAAGAAAGAACATGGTGGAAATGGACACCATGAACAGACACGTATTTTGCATGTTTTTGCAGTAGACTTCTTGGAGATGCGTCTTTCAAACACTTATACGAGAGAAGGAGAGAATCCCTGCCTCAACAGATGGAGGGGGAATGTCTTGGATCATCAGCGGCGTCGAGCATGACAGATGCCGACTTCAGCAGCATACAGAGCTGGAAAGTCTCCAGTGATGAAACCTCTGACAAGGAACCAACCAACAAGAGTTGCTGCAACATGCTGCAGCATTTTTGCCGTACACTGAACTGAAGCTTTGAAGCTATGAGCACACCAGCTAGCACATGTTTCAAAAGGTCAAGTCAAGAAGCAAGTTCCAGACTCCGTAGGTCACTGAAGGGTCCAACGTGGATTGCTGCACGGTCTTCAGGCGCCTCTTCGTTTGAGTGTCGATCACACAGGAGTCTCCAATGCAATTTTAGATATTCTAGGGTGTCGAACTAAGGCTGCAATGGTCGGGTGCCGAACGAAGCAAGGATTCTTGACATGTCTTTCACAAACAAGTCCATATGGATCCACATACCCTCTGAGAAGGTGGTTGGAGACTAGCTATGTAGGCTCGGAGGGTCCAGTCGTACCTTCTGAGAAGGTGGCAGTGGATCCCTAATGAAGAACCTCATGTCAAACCCAAGTCTCCCGGACCACCGGTCTCACAGCGCGTGTCCATGTGGAGAAACGACTAGAAACGCTCCACATTCCTTCCATGCTCCAGGTTGGTTCGCGATTGGATCGGGTGATGTTGGTGCCGGGAATGGCCCAGAAATGGCGGTTTCCCCGGTCCCAGCCATTTCCAAAGGCCAATGGGGCGGCAAAGATGGCAGTCCCATGGAGTGTTTGGGAAGGCTAAAGGATCTCCAAGCTGGTGCCAGAACTTGGAACCGGGACCGTTTCTGGTGGTTTTGGGTGCCCTGTTCCTCTTCCCGGCGAATCCGGCCTGACAGAAGAGGAGGTTTCCCGGTTCCTGCGAGCTGCGACGCCAAGAAACGACGAAGACGAACGAACGCGCTCCTGGCATTACTACTCCCA